GCATAATTTCCTGGCTTGTTCTATTTTAATGATAACAGTTACAGTATTGGAGTATGTAAAGGTATATGTATATAAGGGAATTATCCTCTTCTTTATAGTTTGCAGTCTAATGGTGTGGGACAGAAGTGTGAAATTGTGTGGGAAAACATAGAATATATTTAAGATAGAAAAATGCAATTGGTAAATTATGTGTAATGTAGAGGATTCTAGGATTCTGTAAGTATAAATAGCAGTGTAGAAGAAGAGTGGAATATGTTAATAGTTTAGGTTGGAGGCTCTTAACTTTTGTTTGGCTATATTTTTGAAATCCAGATAAAAGTTATATGCCCAACCAAGAAAACGTGTATGTACTCCAAAAACTTGGGTATGTTTTAGAGAATTTATGCACCCTAGTAGGTACCCCAAATGGATACAATAGACTTCTAGGTAAGCCTTTTAAAGTAGGTGGAATAGATAACCAAGTGGCAAATGTTGAGTAACAATCTGATAGAAGATTTTATAAGAGCCAGAATGGCTACCATTAATAAATTGGCTAACAACAAGTGCTGGTAAGGATGTGGAGAGAAGGAAGCCCTAGTACACTGCTGTTAGGAATGCAGACTGGTGCAGCTACTGTGGAAAACAGTGGAGGTTCCTCAAAAAATTAAAAATGGAACTGCTGATTGACCCAGTGATCCCACTTCTAGGAATATATCCTAAGAATCCTGAAACACCAATCAGAAAGAATATATGTACCACTATGTTCATAGCAGCATTATTTACAATAGCTACGATCTGGAATCCGCCCAAGTGCCCATCAGTAGAAGAATGGATTAAAAAACTGGTATATTTACACAATTGAATACTATACAGCTATAAAAAAGAAGGAGCTTTCACCCTTTGAAAAAGTATGGATGGACCTGGAGACTATTATACTAAGCAAAATAAACCAGTTAAAGAAAGAAAAATATCACTTGATCTTATTTAAATGTGGAATCTAATGAACAAAATAAACTGATGAACAAAAAGTACCAGAGGTATGGATACATTGAACAGAATAACAGATATTGGGGAATGTGGAAGGCATGAAGAGATTAACCAAAAAACATATGCATATCTGAATAACCCATGGGCACAGGCAATAGTGTGGGGAAGGCCTGAGCTGGGGTGGGGGTTGAGTGAGGGGGTCAAAAAAGGAGAAAATGGGAAACATCTGTAATACTGTCAACAATAACAAAGAAAGAAAATATATAATTATTCAAAAGATCATGACTTTGTTATCAATACATACTGATAAGTATAAACTTTCAAATTATTTGAAATGGACATAGAATGATTTCAGGTGTTATGGAATGGATAGTGCTGGTGAAGAAATGATATTAAAAACAGGAATGTACAGTCCTCTGATTCCAGATAAACAATGTGGCCATAATAATCACAGGGGAAATAGTAGTTCTTATAAATGCATAAAGTTGTAGATGGAGAAAGAATCTGAGAAAACAGTCAAATCTAGCTTCCCACCCATCTTAGCACATCCCTTGTGACATGATCATCTAAGCCTTTTGAACACATTAGTGGTTGAAAAATGGAGTTCATGAGTTACTAGAGATTTCATCCTCTTGTTCATCTTAATTTGATACTTGGAAATACATGGAAGTTTTGCCTTGTTTCTTTATCATATACCTTGTTTCCTTATCAAATTTTTAATTGGTAGAATTTTTTTCACTTTTTTCTACAATATTTTAGTCTCTCAGCCTTTTCTCACATGACTTAATTTCTAGATTTACTGTCATGTGGGCATGATACTGTTTGGCATTATTCTTGAAATATGGTGCCCAAAACTGCACATAGGATTTTGTTTATGAGGTCTGACAATCACAGAGTGTATCAGATTTATTGCTTCTTTCAATCTGGGTACTGATCTAGACACAGATTGCATCAGCACTTTTGGGAATCATAAAAATACTAATAATAGTTAAAATGTATTGACTACTTAAAATATTCTAGGTAAAGTGCTAAGCACTTTATATGCATTATACCCTTTTATCTTTATGACAGTCTTATGAGGTTCAAACTGTTATATGTCTCATTTTAAAGGTGAGGAGAATGGAGCTTAGACAGATTTACTTGCCCAATGTAAGACATGCCCACATGTCTTAGTAATTGGTGGAGGTAGGATTCTCACTCAGGTTTGCCTGTCATTAATACTTGGACTTTTAGCCACTGTGCTACTATATTTAAGTACCATGTCATGCTATCAGACACAGCTGAGTTTGCTGTCAATGAAGTGTCTGGAGACTTTCACATCAATTGTTATTAAATAAGATGCTTTCAGTTTTTTAGTAGACAGGCATCTAATGTTTGCATTGATTTACAAGCCATCATTACAGGTTGTTGAGGTTATGTTTGTACTAGCCTTACAGAGAGTTTTTGCCCAAAGTTAGTGATGATCTGTTAATCAGAAATTTTTGATAATAGTCTTTCTACCATCTGTAAATTTGTCTCACACACTGTTAATCAACCTGTGTTGCTCTATTTTATCCATAAGCATATTAATGAGGGACATAGAAAAAAATATTATAGTTTCACTAATGACTTATTTTCAAGTCAAGACTTGGTAACTTTGTTTTCTTTCTAGATAGCCAGTGTAATAGTGCATCTCAACATTAGAAGTTTAGAGAAGATACGCCCAAAATTATAGTTTGTCCTCTTTTTCTTTTAATATGTTTTTATTGATTTTTTTAGAGAGATGGGAAGGGAAAGGGATAGAAAGATAGAAACAGATGAGAGAGAAACGTTGATCAGTTGCTTCCTGCACACCCCTCACTGGGGATTGAGCCTGCAACCCAGGCATGTGCCCTGACAAGGAATCGATCTGGTGAACTCTTGGTTCATGGGTTGACACTTAGACACTGAGCAACCCTGGCTGAGCAAGTTTGTTCTTTTTTAAATTGATCTTTATGTAGATCATGATAACTTGATACCATGTGTCTTATAGACAGAGAATTATTTCATTTTAGACAGTGGTTACAATTGCTAACATTTATAAGATAACTCATAATTGACAAAGTACTTTTAAATAGTCCTCTTTAATCTCTCCCCTTATATGTGACATAAGTGGCATTCATCTTGCCATTTTTACAGTGCTAAACAAATTTAAGATCACAAAGCTTGAGAGTGATTTAGTTCCCATGACTTAATATTCTAACTCCACATCCTATGTTCTTTCCATGTTACACTGCCTCTCAGTGGTATAAATGAAGTTACTAGATAAGCAATGGCCAGTGGAAACATAATTTGTGATTTAGGTAGTTTAATAAAATAGTTGAGAGTTTAGGGCTGAGTCTAATGAATTTGAATGTATCTGTAAAGAGAAAAGAACAAAGTACCCATAAGTAATGATGAAAAATTTTTGGCACAAGTAAAATTATTTAAGGTTATAATAACCTTTGTTTACCAAAAAACAATGATAGTTAATAATGTTTAATAATAATAATTTCATTAGCTGGAAATATTTTTTAAAAAGAGTAATTCTTACAAATTTAGAGCTCTGACATTGAAGAAGTCATTGACAACATTAACAAAAGTATTTATTTGAAAAAATGTTGGCATTAAGGAAGTTTAAGTCATACTTATTTGATCATGAGCCATTGATATAGATGCCTTTAGGTAGAGCTTTTTAATGGGTAATTTGTAAAATATAGATACATTTAAAGACCTCATTTAGATTGGATATTTTCTACTCTCAGTCACCAGTTTTCAAGCATTACACTTAAGTTTAAAACATCTCGTATATGTGCTTTCTAGATCATTGATTTTCAAATGGTGTGCTTTGGCACACTCGTGTGCTGCAAGAATTTTTAAATCTTTCAATACCTGACTATTTAGTCAGGGGAACGGACCTCTTTTCTCTTATATTGTCAGATAAAATAAAGAGAACAGCCAACACAACAATAGCTGCCTGGTTTGAATGAAGCAAAATTATACCTTTTTTTTTTCACATCAGCAAAAAATATAATTTTTTTGGTGTGCTAGGAATTTTAGTAATTAGTTTATATGTGCCATCAGATGAAAAAGATTGAAAATCACTATTCTAGATAAATAAGTTCAATGAGTGCTTGAAAGTATGCGTTAAATGAAGTCACAGTGCTGTAAAGTTTAAGAATGAAGCTTCCTGCAAAGAAACAAAGATATTTATTATGTTGGAAAAATAGTTTCTTTATCTTTTAAGTTGACTAATATTACCATTCATTTATAATTTAAGGTTAACACAATGTCCTATTCAGACTTCTTGTGTGAAATTCACTTAAATATGCTAAAGAAATATGGGAGAAAAGACTCACCTCCTATCTTCAAAAAGTCAAGGCTTAAAAGCTAAATAGATTTTCACCAAATGTATAATGTATAATCTTAGTTCTTTTTCATTATATTAAAATTCCTTCTATGAAAACAAATTTAATTTGAGACATTATAAAGTGAATGCAAATTGGAAAAAAAATTAATTTTTTTTCATAAAAATAAAATATGAACTTATTTAATATCAGATTTCTTGGTTTAATTTTTTGCTTTACTATAAAGAAGATTTAGAATTTGGATTTCAAAGTTTTTATGACTATTTGACACATGGAGACTATATTGTAGGTAAGATGGACATTTTATGTATAATTTTGCAAAAAAAGTCTGTGTGCATATGCAGAATATTCTGACTTAAGCATACATTTTCCAAAATTTGTGATTATAACCTACATGCCATCTTGAGACATGTTTGCAAACTCCAAATTCTACATAACTATTTTCCATGTGAATTATAGTAGTCAACACACTTAATATCCATCCTTAATATCCTTAATATCCTTAACATCCTTAATATCAATATTGTTTTCAGCAATGAAGTTGTACTCAGGAGTTTTCAAAACAGGAAAAAGTAAAGAAAATAATATGTTGTCTAGATGTATCTCCCATGGTAGGATTAGAATTCGTCTTGTGTTGTTTATTATTTCCTATCATTTCTTTCTTTGCAGGAGTGTCGTGGTGCCTGTGAAGAAGCCACCTCCAGGCAGTTTAGCTGTAACCACTGTGGGAGCCACTGCAGCTGGAAGTGGGCTGCCAACAGGCAGCACTTCTAATATATTTGCAGCTACTGGAGCTACACCAAAAAGTATGATTAATACAACAGGTATTGTCCTTACATATTTTTGTGATACCTCATCTTTTTCTTTCTGTTTTTTGTATCTTCATTTTTGTGCTTATTTGATCTTAAAAATAAAATACCCTGATAATTTAAGGTTCTCTTAATCTTTAAGATGGTTCTACTTTATGTTACTGCCTTTCAGAATCTGTCTGTAGTTGTAGGGTGTGTGTAAATTTTATTAAGAATAAGAAGTTGTACTAACTATGTTAGTGACAGAAACTAGCTTTAGTGTCATTTACTGGTTGAATCCTAATCTATATACTTTTCTAAATCCTCTAAGGGAAGGCAGAGCTCCCCTGAGGACCTAGATATGTAAGATCTTCAACTTGATTAAAAACACATGGTGACTAAGAACCATGTGTGACTATGAATATACACATACACACACACACACGCACACACACACACACACACAGACACCTAGATTACATTTGTATCCAATTCATTGTCCAATCATTTTTCTAATGATTCTAGGGACAGATAGTTCCAAATCACTACAATTTCTTATTATTTTTTTGTAAATTTTCAGAAATGTTCCTGTTGCTTAATAGCTAAATAAATCCTTACCCAAATCTTTGTCATTCCATTTTAGGTATTTATACACTGCAGAATGATCCCTGACTTTTCTTCCCTGATTATAGTAGCCTTCTCTTCTCCAAACTGTATAGCCTTGAACTTTTACATCTATTACCATTACTTAGATTCTTCCCATTTTTATTAATTTCATAGCTCTTCTTTGTGCCTTTTGTATCTGTCTTGTTTATCATACCACCAGAGTGACATACCATAAACAACACATTTATGGGGTTGTAGTAAATAGACTGTACTCTGATATTTATATGAGCAATTAGATATCATTAATGGCATTGTTTTAAAGAACATAACACCTCTGATTTACCTATATTATAAATAAATATTTATATTTGGCTTTTCTGAAGACTTTATATAAAATTTTTGTATTCCATTTATAATCTTACTCTTTATATTCATTTTGCTTTCTAGAAATAGGAATAAAAATGTTTCTTTTACCAAAATATATACCATAAAAAGTGTTTAGGTTTTTAACATATGCCAATGTAGTAGAAAAAAACTGCATTTGGTATTTATTAAGTCCTTATTTTTAAAATATACATAAATGGAAAATTAAATCACCTTTTTTATTTTTACATGAAACAAGTTATTTTCTAATTTTTATTTTATGAACTAATAAGAGATATAAGAAATGATGGTAGCAAGAGCTCTACTGATAGTATAAAGTATATAATATTACAATGAAAAATAAAATATAAGTAATAAACCGCCTCCTTAGAGGTTTTGTTGGTCAGCATCTAAATGGGACCCATTGTCCATTTTATACAGGGTGTCCCAAAAAAGTATACTCTCTTTGAATTATTATAAAGTCAGTGTTTATTAACATACAGTTCATTTAAAAAATTTTAAACAATCTACAGAAATGAATAATTTTTTTGTCAATGCTTATTTTCAAACTGATGACCATTCTGGTCCAGGCACTCCTGATAACATGAAGCAATGGAATCACAAACATCAGGAATCATTTCTTTGGGTACTTGTGCACCCTTAATTCATCAACTGTTACTGGTTTTGTACCGTAAAATTTATCTTTCATGTATCCCATAGAAAAAGAAGTCTAGCGGCACTTTAGGATAAATTTTCTTTTTTCAAAGCTTAGTCCGGCTTCACCCATTATTTCAAATCAGTTAAACCTGAAAAGGAGTGAAAATTAAGTGAGTTATCAGCTGTTAAAGTGTGTGTATGTTTTTTGCGACACCCTATATTTTGGCACATAGATGCTGTGTAAGTGTTAAGAGTGGAAATTCCAGTAAGCAATCCCATTTTATAGGAATTAATGTAAGATAAGATATTTAGGAACACTAGATATCTCTCAACTCCACAGCTATTTCATATACTTAACTTACCTAGTGTATTGTAGAAAAATCTGTTCTAAAATGGCATCTTCATATCGTTGAGGAGAACTCATTTTAAAATCAGGTATAATTATACTCATTATATCCCTTCTTAAGCAATCATTCTATCAGAATAAAGCATTTCATTCTCCAGTGCCACAAATTTATGCTCAATCTATTGTAAATTATATTTTAGATGATGGAAACTGAAAATATTACAGCACAGCCATAAAACAGATAAATTTTCTACATCTAAATTTGCATGGTTTTTATCAGCATTTTATCTAAAATTATTTTCATTTATTGATGTCTTTTATTTGTACCCCGTTTGTAATATGTAGTTTTGTTAGATTAATATAAGTAAATCAACTAGAATTTAATTATAAATATAAATAGTAATTAGTGTACTAATAGCCAGTGATTTTAATTGTTAAATTCTGTTTTGGAATTCAGATGAGTAGTTCTTCAAAATGAGATAGCAATGATGTAATGAAAATTATTTTATTAAATAAATGTATATTTAAAGCTAAAATTATTATTTTGGAAACAGGTGCAGTGGATTCAGGGTCCTCCTCCACTTCCTCCTCTTCGAGTTTTGTGAATGGTGCTACCAGCAAAAACCTTCCAGCTGTACAAACTGTTGCTCCAATGCCAGAAGACTCGGCTGAAAATATGAGGTATACATTACAATTTGTTTTGTTTTTTACTCATTTTACTCCTTTCCTGCCCTTTCAAACATATTGAAACAGTACACAATAAACACAATGGTATAGTTAAGAATTTTTGAGAATGGTTAATTACATATTTTGTGACTATATTTCATAAATGCACTGTTTTAATACTTTTAGCTTGTTATTCATTATACAAAATCTGTTATATTTCAGTGTCCAGAGATCTTGAATAATTTTCAGACATTGACTCTGCTGAATTTATAATCCATTGTCATATAGCATGTTTCAATATCCAATAAAATAAAAACCTGCACAAATGGTAACATGATAAAAAGTAGACATCTTTGAGGTGATGATGAAAAGTTTAGATATAGACTTTCAAAATAAATTTTCAAATTATAGCTAACATATATAATTGGAGCTTGAATAACCAAACACTTTTTTATTGTGATTAATAGATAAAAATGTTTTTTAGTCCTGGCTAGTATGGCTGTTAGTTGGGTATCAATCCTGCGCACTGAAAGGTTGCCTGTTCTGTTCCAGGTTAGGGCGCATGCCTAGGTTGTGTGCTCAGTCCCCAGTAGGGGGTGTGTGCAGGAGGCAGCCAATTGATGTCTGGCTCTCAACTCCACAGCTATTTCTTCTTTCCCCTCTTCCTTCCTCTCTCTAAAAGTCAGTAAAAATATTTTTTTTTAATGTTTTTTAGTAACATATCAAAGAGCATTCCTAGAAGAGACTGGCCCGGAGTTAAATTGCTCATGCGCACACACACACATGTGTATGTATTCACATTTTTAATTCAGGTGTCACGCAAATGCAAAGTGTATAAGCTCAATGAATGAATGAACGCACTCATATTACCATCACCTAAGTCAAGAAGTAGAATGTTACTAGTACTCCAGAAGCCCCCACACTGTGCTCCTTTTCTTCTTCTTTTTTTTTTTTAATATATCTTTATTGATTTCAAAAAGAGGAAAGGAGAGGGAGAGAGAGATAGAAACATCAGTGATGAGAGAGTCATTGATCGAGCCCGCAAGCCGGGCATGTGCCCTGACCGGGAATCGAACCCTGATCGCCTGGATCCCAGGTCGATGCTCAACCGCTGAGCCACGCCCGGCCGGGCTGTGCGCCTTTTCTTGACACTATTCTTGCCCCTCTTCAGTTTCACCATCCTGACTTTTAATACTAGGTTAGTTTTGTCTTTTTTAAATTTTATATAAATGGGATTGTACAGTATGTATTCTTTTATCTATGGCTTCTTTCATTCAACATTATGTTTATGAGATTCATCCTTGTTGTATGTAGTAATAGTTTGTTTATTTTTATTCCATTTTTTATTCCTTTGTGGGTGTATATTAATCTATCTCACTGATGATAGTCATTTAAATTTTCTAGTTTCGGGCTGTTACAAATAATGCTACATTTTACATATCAATGCTGCTTGTACATTACTCTTAGGTGTGCTGCACATTTGTATGTATATCTTTTGCGTAAATAACATGGAGTAGAATTTATGATTCATAGTGTTTGTACAAGTTCAATTGTACTAAATAATGCCAGTTGGATATCTAAAGTGGTTATGTAAGTTTACTCAGCAGAAGCATATGAGAGTTCATATTTCTTCATATCTTTAACAGTACTTAGTATTATCAATCTTATATTTTAACCATTTTGGTAGAAGTATGGTGGTGTCCCATTGTATTTTTAGTTTGCATTTTCTTGATAATTAATGAAATTGAGCACCCTCTTATATATTTATTGGTCCTTTGGTTTTCTTCCTTTGTTATTTGCCTGTTGAAATCCTTTGCTGATTTAAAAAAAAACAAACACACAAAACTGAGTTGCTTGTCGTCTTCCTATTAATTTGTAAAGGTTCTTTATGCATTTTTAAATTGAGTCCTTTGACGATTATGTTTATATATATATATACACACACACAACCATATGCCTTTATATATATGTGTGTTATGCATTTATATATACGTGTGTGTGTATGTATATAATATATATATCTTCTATTCTGTGGCTTTTCATATCATTACCTATATGATCTGTTTTGATCAATGGAAATTGTAAATTTTAATGCAACAGTTTATCTAGATTTGTTTGTTAGTGCTTTTTCCACTGTAGGTGATATATTTGCCTACATTTTTCCTACCTTATCTTCTGGCTACTTGTTCTTTGCTTTTTATATTTAGATGTGTCTTTCATCTGGAATTAAGTTTTTTGAGTTTAATGAGGATGGGAGTAATATGGATATCAAGATGACCCAGCACTATTTATTTGAAAAACTCTTCTTCCCCCCATGCCCTGCCACTTTTGTTATAAATCAAATGTCCCTATATACTAGATTCTTGTTTGGCAATCAGTTCTACCCCCTTTGTCTGTCTGTCTATCCTTGTGCCATAGTGTCATAATTACTTTTAGTGTTCAATTAAGATCAGTATCTTGCTGAGTAAGGTCTTTCCAACCTTGTCCTTTTTCTCAAGAAAGTCTAAGCTATTCTTGATTCTTTGAGTTTCTGTTTAGATTTTAGGATTAATTTGACAAAATACAAATTAAAAACAACTTGCTGTGGTTTTGGCAAGGAATAGAATTTTTAGATTATTGTAGCTGGATTTATACTGCATATATAAATCTCTTTCAAGATTGTGACCTCCAAATTGTGAACGTCATAGATCACTTCAATTTCTTTAGTTTTTCTTAAATTTTATTTCAGTAACAGTTTTTACTGTTCTATGTTGAAGTCTTACATATTTCTTATTTGACTTACTCTGAGAATTTTAATATTTTGTATGTGTATCTTTTTCTGTATTTAGTTCAAATTAACTTTTTTGAGATCATTGTTTATATTGTTTAAAAGCAATTATTTTTACTTTCAGTAAGCATTAGCAATCCTACATGACATAATAAAGTCAAGGTGATAAGGCTAGTAATTTTCTGGTTCACCACTACTCTAGGGTGTAAGTCTACAAAGTTGCACCTTGAATCATAAGGCTTTTGTAAGTGCTTCCTCCCGTTTGGTGGCCCCTGAACCCTTTTTTCCCATAAGTGTGTTAAAATTTTTGTTCAAATGCTAAGACATTGAACCGCTTCTTTCAGAAACATGCCCATATTGAGAAAAATGGCCCAAATGCCAAAATCACATCTTTGGGGTTTCTTCTTATTTAGGATCATGGTCAAATAAAGGGTCCCTGTCTTTACTCTCCATTGCCCTCAAAGAGGTGATTGTGTTTTATTTTGGTTTTACTCCAGCTCTCCTAGTTGTTCTAAGTAGGAGGGTCAGACTATGAAAAGTGGGAATCCAAATTGTTTTTATATAGCTAGTTTATTCTTTTGTTCTAAATTAGATTGATTATCAGCATTGAATGGCTTAGTTTTATTTAATCACTCTTTGAACAGGATTGTTTCATATCCATTCTTTTTATCCTGTAATTATATCATGGACAAATTTAATTATCTTGTATTTTCAACTTATAAAAAAATTAGTCAAGTATGACATAAGTTCTAATATCACATCCATTTAAATGTTTTCAGTTCCTTACTCTGGCTTTCTTTTTAAAAATTTTATCTTTATTATTCAGAGTATTACAGTTGTAGCCCCTTTATTTTCCCCAATGATTCCCTCCCCACTACATCTGCTCCTTCCCCCTAGGCCTCCACCAAACTATTGTCTATCTCCATGCATATGTGCATAAAGGTTCTTTGATTAATTTCCCTCCACCAACTCCCCCACCCCAACCTCCCCTATGATATTTTTCAGTCTGTTCCATGCTTGTATGTCTCTGGATCTATTTTGTTCATCAGATTATTTTGTTCATTATATTCCACATGAGTGAGATCATGTAAAACTCAATCAGGAAGAGTCAGAAAACCTGAATAGACCAACAACAACTGATGAAATCGAAGTAACAATCAAAAAACTCCCAGAAAAAAAAAAGCCCCTCTGTGGACGGCTTCACAAGGGAGCCCCACCAAGCATATTACTTCTTATTACAGCAGTCCCTTTAACATTTTTTGTAATGCTGATTGGTGGTGATAAGCTCCTTTAGACTTTTTTTGTCTGGGAAGCTCTTATTTCACCATCTATTTTGATGATAGACTTGCTGGATAGAGTAGTCTCGGTTTTAGATCCTTGCTTTTCATTATCTTGAACACTTCATGCCATTCCCTTCTGGCCTGTAGAGTTTCTGATGAGAAATCAGCTGACAGCCTTATGGGAGCTCGCTTGTAGGCAACAGTTTGCTTTTTTCTTACTGCCTTTAAGATTCTCTCTTTGTCTTGAATTTTTGGCATTTTAATTATGATTGTCTGGGAATGGGCCTCTTTGGATTCTTCTTGCTTTAGACTCTCTGTGCCTCCTCAACTTGTGTGACTTTTTTTTTTTTTACCAGGTTAGGGAAGTTATCTGCCAATATTTCTTCAAACAGGTTTTCTATTCCTTGCTCACTTTCTTCCCCTTCTGTTATCCCTATGATGTGAACATTGTTTCATTTCATGTTGTCCCACAGCTCCCTTAAACTGTACTCCTGTTTTTTAATTTTTTTTTTTAATCTCTGATTGAGTGCTTTTCTCTGTCCTGTCTACTATTTTCATGATCTGATCCTCAACTTCCTGTAATCTGCTGTTTATCCTTTCTAATGTATGCTTTATTTCAGCTGTGTCATTCTTAATTTCCTTCATAGTTTCCCAATTGTTTTTCATGCTGTTGAGCATCCTTACAATCATTATTCTGAGGTCTATATCTGGTAGGTTGCTTATCTCCATTTCATTTATCTCTTCGTTTGGAGAATTCTCTTGTCCTTTCGTTTGGGTTTTTGCTTCCCCATTTTGGCTGCCTGTTTGGGTTTATTTCTATGTATCTGGTAGATCTTCTAGGACTCCCAGTCTTTTTGGAGGGTCTCTGGTGCAGTCCATTGACAGACACCATTTGTGGCTGGCCTTGGGGACCCTTTTTGCAGCTATCAGCAATCCACAGCATGTGGCTCCCTCTGCTGTGGCTAGGT